CAACCTCACCAACCAATTTCCACAAATAATAAAATCAAATTACTTAATTATCACATAAATGCCTTTAAACTGAGAACTTTGGTGACACCATCTAGCACTGAAACTATAGGAGCTTGGGATGGGGCAGACAACTCTACTTTTTATATGGTGGAATCACTAGCTTAGAAAAACAGCCTGCTGTTGCAGCAACTTGTTCAGCAAGTCTTTTAAAGGTCTCATTCAGTAGTTCCTGGAAAAATTTATTACACAAAGACTTTCAGTTTCTAGGCCAGAGTCTTAGCACTGTCCTTAGTGAGCATTATCTATCCATCTATCACTCTGAAATAGCTTTAACATATGAACTTTGATCAACACTTTACCAAAATGAGGGTCTCAAGCATAATAAATTAACTTAGTGCTGACTGATACTTGGAGAGGTCAGATGTCAGTGCCCCAGATAATTGTAGTTTCACACTCATATTCACCTGAGAAAATAAAACTGTTCTATGAAAACGAGGCATGGAGTTATAAAAGACTTGCAGCAAAATTACACAGGAAGTCTATCAGATTTGGGAGCAAAGCCTCAACTAAAGCAAAGTTTCCAGAAACACATTCCTTTAAGGTTGCATTTGTCCATTTAATTCCCATCCCCCCCCCCCCAAATTATCTCCTAGACTCAGTTTGGTGTATAAAATAATTTTTATCACTTAAAATAATCAGACTCTTTAAGATAATAAAGCCAGCATGTTTCCTGTCATCCTGATTTTTTCCTATACTAAATTTGATAAGTATGACAAAACCTTTTAGAATCTTCAAACTTCAAAATGTAGATATTGCTACCTTCAACATAACAGGATGATATAATATGGACAGGATAATATCTAGCTAAGTAGCTGTTCACTTAGCAGTTAATAGTTCATTCATTTCTATAAGAACTAGGTTTATTTCCAGATGATTATAAAGCTTCCAGTCAGAGAAAAGTGAATAGCAGCTGAGGTATAAGAATATAAGAAAGTTAGAAAAAGGGGAAACTGGGAAAGCCATTTTTGCTGTGATGGGCCAGCTAATTATTTCCTAAATGGGAAAATGCTTTTGCCATAACTGGCTGGCCACTGTGCACATTTGGTATGAAAAATGCTTCCTAACATCTGTTCTGAATTTTCGTCTTGCTTCCACGTATGCTCCTTTGTCCTGTCGTTTGTGTCAGCCTGCAAACAAGAACGTGAAATGACAGGTTCTAATCACCTAAATATTGAAAATTGTCCTTTTTCCTTTTTTTTTTTTTTTTTTAAGACTAGGTTTCAGTAGCATACTGTTTTCTCTCAGTTAAGTGTCTTCTAATTGCTGTCATGTGACAAAGTTCAGTTTGTGACAGGATTAAACAAAGGTTTCTAACTGAGAAAATATGGTCTGCAAGACACAAAGAGTGAAATTCAGATTTCCCAAATGGAAATTGGGCTCAATGGAAACACAGATTACCCACCCCTTTCCACCAGACAAAACACTTCCTAGCATGAATACTTATTTGTGGGTCTCTTGCATATCTAAATTGCCAATTACTACTATTACTATCACTCCTGGCACTGACACAAAGAGACTACATAGCCTGAAGAGAGGCTAAAGTTGCAGAGGATAAGTCTCATAACTCAAAGTCTTCCTGCATTAACTTCATACTAACACAGGCCAATGCCAGGAGATAAAACTGTGATGCCTTCAAAACTCTCAGAGCTCAAAACATACCCGGTTTAGTTCATGTCTCTGTGAGAACCAGGAGACTGAAAGAAGCTAACAAGCATACGGATTGCTCCTAGTATTTTAAAATAGGAAGGATTCCAAATGCTGGTTATTTCTGTGACAAAAAGGTAAGGTTTGCAGTCAGTCTGTTTTGAAGACTCTATTGAGAGTCTCTTGCTAGGTGAACCATAAGAAGAATGAGGCACAAATATCCAGATCATTTTCGCAGGCTTGGGCAATTAGATTTCCAGTTCATGCTAATATATGGAGATGTGGATAATAGAACTAAACAGCCACATTCCCTTATGAAGACAAGACTTGACTTAAATGAGCAAGTATTTTTCTGAACCAAGACTGGCATGCAGGTCAGCTTGCCATGATGTTTCACCAAAAAACTCGAGATAAGCCTGACAAACCTAAGGTCAGGATTTGATTCCAGCCCTGTCCCCCCCCCTCCCCCTTCATAAAAAGTCCAAATAAACTTAACATGAGACCTGGTGACTACTACAAATTCAGATAATCTACTTGGTTGCAAAGTAGTCATTAAAATATTTACACTGTTCTTTAGTATATCCTATTCAGTATGTGCTATTTGTTAATCTCACAAGTAAAATCTGCATAAGCATCTCTAGCCCCAATTCAATGAAAAGTAAGTTTCAGACACAGTCTATAAATTATCTTCTGTCCAGTAGCCAACAGCATAATTATTTTACTTCCCACAAATGAAATATGGATACCTGAAAGTTTTCTTTTTTAATCTGCAAGAAAACCAGTATTATGTTCGTAGCTGGAATTTCCATCTGGCATAACAACAGCTATCATTGTGTGGCTCTGTTGCAGTAAGCATATTCTGAAGGAGACCAAGCATTCCCCTTTCATCTTCTTCTTGCATCCTCTCCCACCCTAAGTCTTAGGCCCCAGTCCTGAGGAAAGAAATGTACTGACTGATCTCTTCCCCCTCATCCCGCAGAGGTCTGTAGGGTTTTATGTGCATGTATCTCCCAGTTTGAGTTTCTAATTGAAGAAGGCCATAGTAAGGGTTTTTGTTCTCTACCAGAGTTGGCCCATGTTTTTTGGTAAGTTTAGCAGTCGAGCTTGCAGGTTTCCACTTACAACAACTTCAGGCCTGGCAGAAATAAACTGATTCGTAAGTGTTGGGTATAGAATGATCAGCACTGCAAGACATGATGTCTGTGTCTGTTGTTGTAGAGTTGGCAGGGTACATTATGGAACCGTTGCTGCTATAACAGCAACATAACATATTGGGCATAGCTGGAGGCCATATTTGATGATCTACTGTGGTTAGACATACTTCTCTAAATACATTAAGACATTAAGACTCAAAGACTTGAAAGGCTTTTTGGTTTGTTTCTTTTAATACCCAATATAAGAGATCCTTTGGCAAGAGTTTATGAAGCTGAAAATGGTGATGCAGAAAGATGTATGATTAAAAAGCAAAGCAGGAAGGTTGACTCATAAAGTGACTTATAAGAGCAGCTAAGGTGTGTCAAAATGTGTTCGTTTCAAAACTAGATAGTCTTTACCTAAAATACCTGAACTGCTTTGGTTGTATTGCAATTTCTGATTATTAAAAAACAATTTATTTAACTTCATATTAATTAAAAAATAATTCCTTTTGCTGAACAGCATGGACAAAGTACAGCTTTGACCCAGCTTTAAATGGAAATTAGCATCTCAATTTTTTGGTTTGCTCAAAATCCTACAGTATGCAGCAGGTGAGTTTTCGCAAACCTGAGTTTTGGATCAGGCCCAAAAATATGATTTTTTTTCTTCTCTCTCATTATGATACAGCTTTTGAGTGATCTTTTGGTGTTTCAGGAAGGAGCCATTTTTCAGTAGAAGAAAGGACGAGGGAAACAGTTTCATTAACTGCAAAATCAACCTAAGTCTTTGATGCAGGCTTCACTTTTGTCACGAATTTACACATTTATAGAGCACAGTCCCCAGAGAACAGAAATAGACGGTGTCTAAGTTGCTCCTGAGTTAAGACCTTAGTCATAAACATAATACTGTGAAAAATTCAGTCTGTAGGTAACAATGAAAAGTTAATACAAATGATCATTGACTTCATCATAGAACTCTTTGGGAGCAACTTTTCCAGACTCACGTTGAGCCTTGAGAGGGAAATGTTTCAGCACAGAACCACACAGCCTTTCATATGAATGAAAATGAGTGCAAACAGAATGCTGAGATGGTTTTAAGATCACCTCTTTTTTCTTGTACAGAATACCCACCATAATTACATTTTCTTTGTCAGTTCATAAATTTTGCTTATTACAAAACAGGCATTATTGATTACTTTTTAAAAGTACTAAAACTAAGCTAAAAGCAGCAGATCTCTCAGCAAATTCAAAACATACTATCTTCCAAGATAATCACTGGCAAAGGGACTGTGGAAAAACCATCCAAGTTTATTGTAAGCCTAATGCAAAAAATTGAAGTTACCATGAGTTTTAGGTTAGTAACTTGGCTTTGGGTTTAGCATGCTTCAAGCCACAATGAAAAAAAAAAGATAAACTTATTTGGCAAAGCGAGACACTTTTAAAGCCCACATCCTGTAATTGTTTCCTCATTTGGACTGGCAGCTTAAGCAAAAAGAGAAAAGAAAAAAGGAAAGGGGGCAGGGGACGGGAGGAGGGAAGGGAGGGGAGGGAAGGAAAAAAAAAAAAAAAAGGAAGAGGGGAAAGAAAATAGTAAAAATGCAAAACATTTTGAGAAAAAAATGGAGGGGAACAAATAAATCAACGTATTTGTCTCATTTGTAGCAAATGAATATATAAATTATGTATTTGCTTCTTTTGTTCCCCTCTTAGGTAACATTCAACAATATAAATGAAGGAAACTCACTAGTCTTGTCAGAAAAGCTTGAATTGAGTAGAATTAGTGCAAACAGTGAATTTTCTAACACAGAAGAGCCAGAGCAATAGCAGGCAGCATAAGAGGACTCAGCCTCTTTGAGATCAGTTGATTAAACATCTCCAAGTGAGATTAATATACACTGGGAATATCCGTATCTAGAACCAGTTAGAAATAAATGCTATCAGAAGGGATTTAGAACTGCCATTCTTATTAAAATAAGGTTAGAGGCTGACACCTACAAATAGTTATAGGAGAGGGAAAGGAAATCTTGCAAAAATGAAATTAACAATGTTTGCTATTGGATTAGATCTAAACAATCTCTGAGCATACTTAAGCTTTTACTTCTTTTAACTGCTGTATTGTTGCAAATCCTGAACTAGTACTGAAAAAAATCCATATGGTAGCTACTGATCTGGGCTGGGAAACAATGTCCTATTCAAAGTTGGTATCTGCTCTAAGTATCAAGCAACAAAACTAACTGTCCTCTGTAAAGAGGAGGAGAAAAAGAGAACATTTATGTCAGTGTCAAGCCAGAAAAACAGGTTTCTACCAACCTAAGTTAATAAAATAGAATACATGAAAGTATTTTTAAAGTGGAAATAATTTAAGAATGTTAACAGTGCACTTGGCTACACTTTGATTTAGGAAGCAATATTTTACCTGCAGCAGTAGGTTATTATTTTTATTTTTATTTTTTTTACAGCTTTAAATCCAAAGAGGCTGCGCTCCATCAAGAAATGACAACAGCAACCTTAATGCCACTGTGAAAGTCCCAGATGAAATTTGGAAGTAGCCAGAAAGCGGCCAGATAATAAGGCTATGACTCAACAGGTACTGTGAGGGAAGCTGTGTTCAAAACAGTTGCAGACATATGGTCCCAGTGTCAGATGAGAGACAGCTGGAAAAGCCTTTGTTCATGATGCTTTTAAAGACAGCACAGCAACTATGCAATTATCTATGAAACATATTGCAAGAACAAAACATATGCAAAATGCTTTTGCAGCACCAGTCAGGGGAAGAAAAGAAAAGAATGAAAAAAGGAAGACTTAGTTTCACGCTACTGTCCTTTGCACTCTTCTGGTGATCTAAAGAGAATACCATGGTGGTACCATTATACTGTAACAGATAACTGTAATAAAGGTAAATGACCTACTGATATACTGGAATCGAAAATAAACTCTCCATATTTTCCACATTAGCAATTCAAGAACAGAAAATTACTAATATGTAGCCTAGTAAGAAGCTTATTTTTCTCAGAATAAACCATGAACTATGTATCTGGACTGAGAATAAAGACTACCCTAGAAATAAATAGCAGGAGTATGTTGAGAAGTGAGTCAAGGTCTGCTTCTCTGTGTGCTGTGCTCCTGAATTTCCTCTCCCTAGTAACTGAGTCACAAGGAACAGAAACTCACATGTGCCCAGAAAGCTCAGGTGTTCAGAGATCTGTCCTTTCCTTTGCCTTTAACTTGGCATCTGCCCTCAAGGAGACAGAGGTGGTAGAAGAAATCAGTTCTGTCCCCTATGAAGACCCTTAAGCTACAGAATGACAGACAAAACAAACTGGAAATTTAACTAGTTTTTTTATGCACTTTGGGGCAACAAAGTAGAACAAAGAGTTGACAGACTGCTAGGTTATCTGCCAGGTTGCCTTTTAAGTGTATGGGCCACATTCATTGGTAAACTGCTGCTGCATGTTGTTGGAAATTAGCCTGCCCTTGGGACAATGTCCTGGCCAAAGGATTCATTAGGTAAGGTGGTTTCCCAAACTGGCAGTTCTAGCTTTCATACAAATTGGTATTTTCTATTATTTCACATGGTGTCTACCAGTCTTACAATTATGATACATAGTTGTATCTTTGTCCTGAGTTCAGCAGTAGCAGTCATTTTTTTTCTCATTCTTAGTAGCTGGTGCAGTGCTGTGTTTTTTACTTTCGGCCTGGGAACAGCACTGATAACACCGATGTTTTTAGTTACTGCTCAGATGTTTACTCTGACCAAGGACTTTGTGAGTCTCATGCTCTGCCAGGGAGGAGGGGAAGCCGGGAGGAAGCAGAGACAGGACACCTGACCCAAACTAACCAAAGAGGTATTCCATACCACAGCACGTCATGCCCACTATATAAACTGGGGGCAGTTACCCAGAAGGGCTAGATCACTGCTGGGTGGGGTGAGGTATTGGTCTGCAGGTGGTGAGGTGTTGTATTCTATTCCCTTGTTATTTCCTTTATCATTATTATTATTAGTGGTAGCAGTAGTGGTTTGTGTTATACCTTAGTTACTAAACTGTTCTTATCTCAACCCGTGGGAGTCACATTCTTCTCACTTCTCCTTCCCATCCCTCCAGGACTGGGGGGAAGAAAGGGCTGGGGCAGGCGGGGAGGGGGGAGTAGACTGTGTGGTTCTGATTTACAGCCTGGGCTTAAACCACGATAGTGGTTTATATAACAGTCCTCCATCTTGTGCCGTATCATAATGCCAATAAGATTAGATGTACCAGTGATGGTGTTTTTAGTCTGGGAAGGCAGTTAAATCACCAGTTAAAATCAGCAGTTAAAGATGCAAGGTTAGCCTGTTGCAGTCTTATTTTCTATTAATGTTGGTAACTAACCTTTCCTCAAAAATTTGTGCATGCCAGCATAACAGACCAGATGCTCCAAAGACTATCACCACCATCTTACATACCATGCCATTCTCCAGCCATCTGGTGCCATTCATAGGCATGTTAAAAACTCTTGAAACAAGATTTTTAATTCTTTCAGTGTTCTAGATGGAAGAAATCTAGTTCCCCAAATCTAAGCATATTCAGCTCTTCCAATTTTAGTTGCACCTTGGTTAATTTCTATTTCCATTATATTACTCCCTAGTCATTTTGCCTTTATTTCTGTATTAAACAGCTTCAAATTATTATCACTCCCAACTTGACAAATCTTGTCTTAAATAGATTATATTAGAATATATTATTGTAGGAATTAATTATAAATATGCAGCCATTACCCATGTTACGTGAAAGAACTCTGTGGCTACTAAAAGAACTACGGAACAGCTTTGCAGTGAACAGTGAGAAAAAACACTGAAGACATTTTTCTGTCTTGAATATTACCTGCCAACGGAACAAGTTAATCTGATCCAGGTAAGTAAAACTTAGACTGCCAATACCACAAGGATCTACACAATCCAGCAAATGTTTGAGAGTTTAGAGAGCAGACTTTAGCCTCTTCAGGAACCTGCTTAGTAAGGTTTCATGGGATATAGCCCTAGAGGGCAGGGGGGCCCAAGACTGTTGGATGATATTCAAGGATCACCTGCTACAAGCTCAGGACTGTTGCATCCCAACTAGAAGGAAGTGCAGCAGGAGGGCCAGGAGACCTCCTTGGATGGATTAGTCGCTCCTGAGGAAATTTAGAGGGAACAAAGAGGCTCATATAAGGCAAAAGTGGGGACAGGCAGCCTCAGAAGAATACAGAGGTGTTGTCCAGAAAGCTAGGGACTGGGTTATTAAAGCTAAGGGCCAGTTAGAATTAAACTTGGCTAGGGATATGAAAGATAACAGGAAGGGATTCTACAGGTACATAGCAAATAAAAAACAGACTAGGGAGAACGTAGGCCCCCTCCGGAAGGTATCGGGAGAGCTGGCTGCACAGGATTTGGAGAAGGCTGAGGTTCTGAATGATTTCTTTGCCTCGGTCTTCACTGGCAAAGGCTCTGACCGCACCACCCAAGTCTTGGAAGGCAGGTGCAGGGACTGTGAGAATGAAGACATTGGGCCCACTGTAGGAGAGGATCTGGTTCAAGACCATCTTAAAAACCTGAACGTACACAAGTCTGTGGGACCTGCTGAAATCCATCCATGGGTCCTGAAGGAGCTGGTGAATGAAGTTGCTAAGCCGCTGGCCGTCATATTTGAAAAATCATGGCAGTCAGGTGAAGTTCCCGATGGAAAAAGGGAAATATAACCCCCATTTTCAAGAAGGGGAAAATGGATGACCCAGGGAATTACAGACCAGTCAGTCTCACCCCTGTGCCTGCCAAAATCTTGGAGCAGATTCTGCTGGAAGGCATGCTAAGGCACATGAAAAACAACAAGGTGCTTGGTGACAGCCAGCATGGCTTCACTAAGGGGAAATCCTGCCTGACCAATTTGGTGGCCTTCTATGATGGGGCTACAGAACTGATGGACAGGGGTAGAGCAGTTGATGTCATCTACCTGGACTTGTGCAAAGCGTTCGACACTGTCCCACACGACATCTTTGTCTCTAAATTGGAGAGACATCAATTTGATGGATGGACCACTCGGTGGATAAAGAATTGGCTGGATGGCTGCATTCAAAGAGTTGTGGTCAATGGCTCAATGTCCATCTGGAGACCAGTAACGAGTGGTGTCCCTCAGGGATTGGTGTTGGGACCGGTCTTGTTCAACATCTTTGTCGCTGATGTGGACAGTGGGATTGAGTGTGCCCTCAGCAAGTTTGCCGATGACACCCAGCTGTGTGGTTCGGTTGATACACTGGAGGGAAGGAATGCCATCCAGAGGGACCTCGACACGCTTGTGAGGTGGGCTGATGCCAGCCTTATGAAGTTTAACCATGACAAGTGCAAGGTCCTACATCTGGGTCGGAGGAATCCCAGGCACAGCTACAGGCTGGGCAGAGAAGAGATTCAGAGCAGCCCTGCACAGAAGGACTTGGGGGTGCTGATCGATGAGAAAATGAACATGAGCTGGCAGTGTGCGCTTGCAGCCCAGAAAGCCAACCATATCCTGGGCTGCATCAAAAGGAGTGTGACCAGCAGGTCGAAGGAGGTGATCCTGCCCCTCTACTCTGCTCTTCTGAGACCTCACTTGGAACACTGTGTGCAGTTCTGGTGTCCTCAACATAAAAAGGACATGGAACTGTTGGAACAAGTCCAGAGAAGGGCCACGAGGATGATCAGGGGACTGGAGCACCTCCCATATGAAGACAGGCTGAGGAAGTTGGGGCTGTTCAGCCTGGAGAAGAGAAGGCTGCGTGGAGACCTCATAGCAGCCTTCCAGTATCTGAAGAGGGCCTATAGGGATGCTGGGGATGGACTCTTCATTAGGGACTGTAGTGATAGGACAAGTGGTAATGGGTTAAAACTGAACCAGGGGAAGTTTAGATTGGATATAAGGAAGAAGTTCTTTCCTGTTAGGGTGGTGAGGCACTGGAATGGGTTGCCCAGGGAGGTTGTGAATGCTCCATCCCTGGTGGTGTTCAAGGCCAGGTTGGACAGAGCCTTGGGTGACATGGTTTAGTGTGAGGTGTCTCTGCCCATGGCAGGGGGTTTGGAACTAGATGATCTTAAGGTCCTTTCCAACCCTAACTATTCTATGATTGTATAAAATGTGTCATAACTGCAGTAGTTTTCTGGTTTTGTTTGCATGCATCTATGTATCAGACATCTTCATTTCCCTGCAGCTTCCACATCACGTTACTGTGCTCAAGTCAGTATTCTGGGAGACTCTAGG